TCAAATTACGCAGATTTGATATCCCTGCAATACTCGACAGATTACTTGTACTCAAAAGATCCAAGTGAATGAGTTTTTTCAACTCTTGTAAACCCATAGGGAGATGACGTATACCAGTACGTGACAAGTTGAGATATTGCAAGGAAACTAGTTCTGATATTCCATCTGGCACACTGGTGAGATGTTTATTTTGTGATAGATCCAACACAACTAGCTTCGGCATGGACTTGAAGAATTCACTCGAGATATTTTCCAAAAAAATGTTGTTTTGCAAGAGCAAAGTTGTGAGTTCGGGACATTCAGGACTGCCATCGAGTTTGCGAATCTTATTCTTCATCAGTGACATCTTTCTCACAACATTCCAATTTTTAACCTTTGGAATTTCACTTAACCCAACACTTGCATGCACAATGAAAGCCTCCTTTTCTCTTCCCAGTTCAGATGCAATCCACGAGGCCATTTCGCGAACAACATCATGCATATGCACTTGTTCTGTTCCAACTTCTTCCATCAACAAGGATGCACGGACAAGATCACCAATTATCTCATACCCCTTGTTCTCAGCCCTCTCTATACCCTCACTTCCATCTATAATACCTTCGCCTATCAAGTAGTCTATCAATTCTTCTTTATCAATATTATAATCTTCTGGAAACAAAGCGCAATACAACAAACATGATTTAACATCCTCACCCTTAAGGTCATCGTAGCTATACTTCAAAAGGAGAAGGATCTTATCTTCCATACCAGAAAACTCTATAGCGTACGAAGTCAAAACATCTATCGCGTGACGCCATTCTTGTATCGTCCTCTTGCATGACATGGTCTCCCCTATGACATCGAGTGCCAATGGTAGGCCACAACATTTTTTAGCAACTATTCTTGCAAGTTCAGGGATCTCCGGATGGCTTCCTAATGTTCTTTGTCCAACCTTCTTTTGGAACAAATCAAATGCTTCATTGTCCGCTAAACATTGGACTTCCATTGGGTCTTCAACCCCCATCCGATCACATACTTCTTGGGAACGAGTGGTGAAGGCAACTTTGCATCCGTTTTGTGTTGTTGGAAACGGGACTCCAATCTCTGTTAAATCCACCTTCTCCCATATGTCATCTAAAAACAACACAAATCTCTTTTTCTTCAAGAAATTGTACAAACGTACGCCTTTTTTATTCTTATCTTTTATCTCCCACAAAAATCCATCAAGACCAACTTTCCCAGCAATTTCATCTTGAATCTTCTCTACATGTAACTCTTTAGACACCACGACCCATATCACAAAATCAAATCCACTACTTACGTCGCTGAACTTATTGTTGATCTGTGTGAGAAGTGTGGTCTTCCCTACTCCGCCCATACCATACAAACCCATCATTCCAACTCCATCTTCCATGAGATGTTTCCATGCCTTTTGAAGCATCGTTTCTTGACCAACAATTGTGGGTTGAAGAGGTCTTTCTTCCATCCGAGGTGTTTGAGCTTCCTCAACAATCACTTCAAATTCTCTACTATGGAGTGTCTCAACCTCCTTTAACGTCAAGAAAACTTTTTTCCCGTAACCATAACTCGATCTTAAACTCTTAGAGCAAAACCCACAAAGACACAGCTTTTGAAGCTCATCATCTCTAGCACTAAGAAGATCACTGACTCTTTTTTCAATACTTGCAACTCTATTAAGCCATACCTCGATTTCGGCAAGCCTTTGCTGACCTCTATCCTCCCCTCTTGTGACCCTTTTTGACAGATCATCACGCTTAGCCTTGAGCTCTTCCATGGATGTCACCAGAGCCGTGAGATTCTTCTCCAGGTTATGTATACAAGCTACTTTCTCGTCAAGCCAGTTAGAAATTTTATTGATACAAGGATCACAAGGTATGGAGAAAGAGATGCAGAAAGGAAGAGAGATCTTAGATTTGAGAATTTTACTGATCTGATCAAAACTAGAGAAGAAGCAGAGAATAATCGAAGAGAAGACTTTCTTTCTCGTCCACAATTCTTCGATCGAGTGAGTCCAAATCATTGAATTTTCTTGGAAATTGTACTTATTTGATTTCCATCACACACTTGGTTGTACACTTTGGTGGGACATACTAATCTCAATTCACAAAGTCTCTCCATGGCTAACCGCAGGAAAAGTACACTTGAGAATCTCGTTGATAATTAATTTCCAAAATAACGGTTGTTGACTTTGGTGGGACATCTGCAAAGATGGGCATCCCCTTGTTGTTGACTGAAGAAGAAAACTTGAGACTCACGTAAAACCCAAATCCCACCACGCTTCTAATATCACCCGCCGGAGCGTCGACGGGAACGTCACAGTCACTGGGTCGTCGTCTTCAAGAGCCTGTCCAGAAACAGAAACCTCAATCATGTCAACCCGGATCCGTTAAGCGTTGACCCGGCTCGCCGTCGAATACATCTGAGGAGGTTTCCGACTCAGGATAACTTCTTGGCCACGCAAGGATATGCATAGTTATAAATAGTCATAAGTAGTGTATAATTTTAGCTCCTACGTAGCACTTACCCTAATTAAAAATAAATAAATAAATGAATTCATGATCTCTTGATTACCTCTCTTTTTTTGTGATTGACAAGTAAAATATATTCAGGAAGAGATTGCAAATAACATTACAGTTAAAAGCATCATTCTCCTACGATTCAGAGAGATTTTGATTCTGCGATAGATCCTAAACAGCTAGCATCAACAAAGAATATACACATCTTAACAACCTTCTTGAGTAATGCATCAAAATTTTATTTTCCACTGACAATTTAGGTATTTGATCATATAAGATAACTCGAGAGACACGCCCACTTCTCTCTGGCTTTGATTATCAACAGTTAACAATAAATTTGCCACTAAGAGTATAACTAACCATATATAACCATATGAAAATGCCTTAGAGATCGAAGAACAACAGCATATATGCCACGTGCTACTCTTCTTCTTCATGATATTGATAAAGACAAATCTCTAAAATGAACTATTTTTACGTTTTTGTCCTAGAAATAGACTCAAAATTAATTTTTCTGGGAAAGAGATATTGGTTAAGCTTAACTATCCGATACACCAACAGATTAAAAACAAACGTGCTCTGTTCAAGTTTATACGGTTTAGTTCCGGTTTGGATAGAAACGTTAATAATCTTAGGTGGGCCACTTTGACGACAGAATCGCCATGGCTTGAGTGAGTGACCCAAGAATCATTCATAATCTCTTAAAAAATGGCACCATCAATCAAATCACGCCACGTGGCCGTAATCAGAGCTGGAGCCGCCGGACTAGTGGCAGCGAGAGAGCTTCGACGGGAAGGTCACTCTGTCGTCGTCTTCGAGAGGCAGAAAGGTGGGAGGAACTTGGATCTACACCGATAATGTCGAGTCGGATCCGTTAAGCGTCGATCCGACCTGAATCGTCGTTCACTCGAGCGTCTATGGCTCTCTCCGAACTAACCTTCATCGAGAATGTATGGGATTCAGAGACTTCCCATTCATGGTCCGATCCGGCGAATCCAGAGTTCCGAGGAGGTTCCCGAGTCACGGTGAAGTTCTAGCGTATCTGCAAGATTTCTTGATACCAATGGAAGTGTTACTGTAGATGATAACTGTGTTAGTCCATTGTACAAACACATCTTCCCTCCACTATTAGCGCCGTGGCTCTCCTTCGCCGGGATACCATGTAAGGTACAAAAGCTCTAAATCGGCATAGCTTTGGTTATCTGCTTGTTACGGTTCGGATTTTGAAGTCTATAAACAAGTTTGGATTTTTTTGCAGGTTATCTCCTCTACCGTTTCCTATGTTTGAGCTGCAAAGCAAGTGGATTGCGGGTGTTTTGTCTCGTCGGATCATGCTTCCTTCAAAGGAAGATATGTTAATGGAAATCGAAACCTTGTATGCAAGACTTGAAGGGGAAGGGGTTCCTAAGCGATATACTCACTCTTTGGGCATCAACCATGTAAGCAAGAGTCTCTTAACATGTTGAAAGCCAACACGGACACAGATTTATTTGTAATTTTTGGTGTGTGTTGTTCTTTTTGTCACAGTTTGAGTACAATGATTGGTTGGCTTCAGAATATGGGTGCTCAGGAACAGAGGAATATAGGAAAGAGATGTTCTTGATGAGTTTCATGAGGAAGATGGAGAATCCGGAGACGTATAGAGATGAATGGGAAGATCATCATCACTTGGTTGCTCAAGCTAACCATGATTTCTCTTTGTATATTGTAAAATAAAGATGAAAGCTTCTATTTCGTGTACAGCTCATCATCCTATGAGAGCTTGAGAACTGAACCAAACCTGAATCATATAACCTAATTCCTATGGTTAATATCTCTAATCTTGCCAAGACTTGTAACTCCTCCACCGTGTTGAGATCTAATGAAACACCAGAACCTCTGCAGTCTCAATACTTTCAAATCAAGTAGACTTGATACGCTAACCTCCCAATATAATCAAATCAATTTTCCAGCTTACTTGATAGACTCCCTCCCCCATCTGACTATTATATTAGATCATTATAGTAAACATAATTCATTGATCATCGTGTTGGCAAATATATAATATTATATGGGACAAGAATAAAAAGGTGCTTGCATATCCTGCATAAGACCAGCTAACTGGTTTGTGTACGCACTGAAACAATGTATATGGCATATGAAAACATTACAATCGACTTCAAACGTAACCATTGTATAAATGTTGATAAAAAATAAGACAGAAAAAAGCACACAGACAGCAACACACAATGAGTGGTAGAGATTTGAGAGAGTGAGAGACAGAGAAGAGAAGAGAAAGAAAAGCTTCTCTTTTGATTAAAGGCAAATGACATCTTCAACTTCCTCGTCGCTTGAATCCTCCTCCTCGCTATATTTCCAAGAAACACTCTGAACATGTACCATAAACAAAAAGACAGATGCATAAGAAAATGGAAGCGGTTCATATCCCGAAGAAAAAAAATCATATGAAAAGAAATAAGATAATACGAGAAATTATACCAATTTTCATGAAGATAAGAAGCGAGTTTTTGTAGCTTCGTCCTCCCATTCAACACCTTCAATCCAACTTTCCTCTCTGTATCCTAAGACGAGTCTATTTTCACCATGTATGCCACTTTGAGAATCCAATGGAAGCTTTTTCAGATTTGGACATTCGATTACATTGAATATCTTTAGACATGGAAAGCGTAGAGGATTCCAATAGATATTCTTTAGCTTGGGTAGACTCCGCAAATAAAGAGAAACCAGCTTTGCAAAAGGAACAATCCCTGATTCTTCAACTTCACAAGCTTTCTCTTTGTTTATTATATCTTCTAGTTGATCTGAATACCTAACTTCAAGTTCTTTAAGATTTGAAGCAAACATCAGCAACGTCAGCTCCCTCAGGCCTCGGCATTTATTTATATACACTTTGGAGAGGCTCAAGAAGCATGGCTCGCTCGGATTGTGTATAGGAGAAACCATATTGCTTTTGTTGCATATACTTCCCATCTTTATCTCAGGGATAGTGCAGTTCGTAATGATGAAATAACGAAGCTTGTTCATGGTCACTGGAATTGCTATTCCAGTTGATTCCAATTTCAAGATCTCCAGAAATCGTGTACAACTCGTCAACCTGAGAGAACTAAAAAATAGCTCCAGATGTGGTGGACAATGGATTTCTAGGGTTAAAATTTCTAAATGCTCCAAGGTTTCTAATTCCTCCACTATGCCGCGATCCCATGAAAAGCCACTTCCAGCTAATTTCAGGATCATCAAATTATGCAGATTTGATATCCCAGCAATACTCGAAAGCTGAAGTGTATGCTCGAGATTCAAGTGAATGAGTTTTTTCAACTCTTGTAGACCCTTAGGGAGATGACGGATACCTGTATCTGACAAGTTGAGATACTTCAAAGAAACTAAATCAGATACTCCATCCGGCACTTTGGTGAGATGTTCATTAAATGATAGATCCAACACCTGTAGCTTCGGCATGGACTTAAAGAATTTACTCGAGATATTTACCAATTCTCCCCGTTGCATGAGAAAAGCTGTGAGTTCGAGACATTCAGGACTGCCAGCTAGATTGCGAATCTTGTTCTTCATCAGTGACATTCTTCTCACACTGTTCCAATTCTTAACCTTTGGAATTTTATTTAACCCTACACCTGCATGCACAATGAAAGCCTCCTTTTCTCTTCCCAATTCAGATGCAATCCACAATGCCATTTCACGAACAACATCATGCATACGCACACATTCTGTTCCATATTGTTCAGCATCTTCCATCAACAAAGATGCACGAACAAGATCACCAATAATCTCATACCCCTTGTATCTGGCCCTCTCTATACCTTCACTTCCATCTATAATACATTCGCCTATCAAGTAGTCTATCAAATACTTTTTAGAAATCAGATCATCTTCTGGAAATAAAGCGCAATACAGCAAACATGATTTGACATCCTC